ATCAGACTGTGGGTGAAATGGCGTTGTCCTGGTCTTTCGTAGGCCAAATAACTTGCATCATTCATGGAACACAGCTGATTCAAAGTTACGGCCTTGATCTGAATGCAGTTCATATGGTATACCAAATCTGAAGAAGAAATCACTAATAGCCGAAGCAACAATGGGAGCTTCCTGATTTGGTATTGCATATGCCCCAGGCCACTTGGTGAAATAATCCATCACCACACAAATGTACCTGTTTCCAGCACGAGTTTGGGGCAAAGGACCAGCAATGTCAACAGCTACTCTTTCCATTGGTGCACCAACTTGATATAACTTCATTGGAGCACGTCCCTTATGCTTGGGTCCCCTTTTAGCACAACATGTATGGCAGGTCCTGCACCATTCTTCCACATCTTGCCTCATACCTATCCAGTAAAATCTCTGCCATAGGTGACTCAATGTCTTCTTAACTCCGAGATGTCCTCCTGTTAAACTATCATGAGATTGACGCAGCACATCTTTCCGTAACTTTCTCGGTATAACTGTTTGCCAGGTCGTCACTTTCTCATCTCTGAAGAGAATACCATCTTCAAGCTTCTGCCCAATAGTTCTTTGTCACAGGGCTTAAGCTAGACACCTTCTCCCAAGCAGGGTGCAAAACACTTGCTTGTATAAAATCAATTATTGACTTCAAATCTTGGTCTTTCTCTTGCTCTGCTTTAATACCTATACCTGATTCCACTTCACCATCATCGACTCCTTCAGTCACTTTGACTTCAGCTTGATGGCACCTGGTTAGTTCAACCTCTCTTTTGCAGCAATGTCTGCAGTCATTTTTGTAGGGTCTTTGGATCAGTCCGTCGGCATTTCCATGAGCTTTTCCCTCTCTGTATTCAATATCATAATTATACTGGCCTATCCTTCCGATCTAACGTGCCAGTTGTCCCTCTGGGTACTTTAATTATCTTAACCAGTGTAATGCAGCATGGTCTGTCCTGATGGTAAACCTAGCCCCACAGCAGTAAGGATGGAAATATGTCAGACTTTAATATAGCAAGGAGTTCCCTCTGTTACACAGTAGTTCCTCTCTGGTCTACTCAGGACCCTACTGAAGTAGGCCATCACATGTTCGTTTTCACCCACTTTCTGAGACAACACTCCTCCAATTCCGACATTACTAGCATCATAATCCAGTATATATGGCAGTGAAAGATTTGGAAGCTAGAAAAGTGGAGCTGAGTCCAATTTTTTTTTCAATGTCTTGAAGCATGCTGGCAAGAAGTTGTCCATTTCAACTTCTGGCCTTTTTTTGTCAAATCATATAGTGGAGCAGATATAGTTGCAAAGTCCTTCACAAACTTCCGGTAATAGGTAAATAATCCCAAGAAACTTCTTAACTCTCCCATATTGTCTGGTGTCTGCTTTCACCTTGTCAGGATTAGTTAGCACACCATACTCACTTAAAATGTGACCCAAGTAAAGCACCTCTTTCTGGAACAAGTGGCATTTCTTGGTATGGAGTCTGAGGTTTGCTGCTCTCAACTGCTTGAATACTTCATCTAGCCAGGATACTTCCTCATCAAATGTTTCTACAACCACTGACATCAACCAGGTACACTAGGGCTATCTTCCATTGTAGGCCTTCCAGTACTCTTTCCTCCAGCCTCTCAGATGTTGCTGGAGCATTGCTAAGCCCAAATGGCATCACACAGTATTGTCAGAGACCTTGCCCATAACTAAATGCAGTGTTAGGTTTGTCTGCTTCAGCCATTTTTACTTGATGGAAACCCAATTTTAAGTCCAGAGTTGAAAACCACCTGGCTTCACATAGGGCATCAAGAGTATCATCAATTCTTGGCAGTGGGAATGAGTTCTTTTTGGTTACACTGTTAAGAGCCCTGAAGTCCACACAGCAATGTTGGGTCCCATCCTTCTTCTGGACTAACATGACGGGAGCTGACCAAGGACTACCCAATTTATCGACTATCCCTTCCTTAATTAGGCCATCCATGACCTTCTCCATCTCTTCTCACTTTGCCAGAGGGATCTTTATTGGACAGTAATTGCTTGTGTTTATTCTGTGTTCCACAAGGTCTGTGCAGCCAAGGTCATGATCTCCTTTTGAAAAAACGTCTGCATAATTCACCAAAAGTTCCCTAACCTGAAGAGCCTGTGATGATGACAAATGGACTATGCATTTCTTATAGAGGTCAGTTAAATGTTCTGGAAGAGGATGTCCTTTCTTTAAGGTTGTATTTCTTGTCTTAACATTGACTAGCACTACCT